CCCTCAGACCCTGTTTACCCTGAGTATCACCAGCCAAAAAAAAAAAAAAAAAAAAAAAAAAAATTTCCCTGTAAACACTGCTTTAGCTGTGTGCCAAAGATTCTGGTATGTTGTGCCTTTGTTCTCAATGGTTTCAAAGAACTTATTTATTTCTGCCTTAATTTCGTTATTTACCAAGTAGTCATTCAGGAGCAGGTTATTCAGTTTCCATGTAGTTATGTGGTTTTGAGTGAGTTTCTGAATCCTGAGTTCTAATTTGATTGCACTGTGATCTGAGAGACTGTTATGATTCCCATTCTTTTGTATTGGCTGAGGAGTGTTTTACTTCCAATTATGTGCTCGATTTTAGAATAAGTGTGATGCAGTGCTGAGAAGAATGTATATTCTGTTGATTTGGGGTGAAGAATTCTGTAGAGGTCTATTAGGTCTGCTTGGTCCAGAGCTGAGTTCAAGTCCTGAATATCCTTGTTAATTTTCTGTCTCATTGATCTGTCTAATATTGACAGTGGGGTGTTAAGGTCTCTCGCTTAATGTGCGGGAGTCTAAGTTTCTTTGTAGGTCTTTAATAACTTGCTTTATGAATCTGAGTGCTCCTGTATTGGGTGCATGTATATTTAGGATAGTTAACTCTTCTTGTTGCATTGATCCCTTTACCATTATGTAATGCCCTTTTTGTCTTTATTGATCGTTGTTGGTTTAAAGTCTGTTTATCAGAGACTAGGATTGCAACCCCTGCTTTTTTTTTTTTTTTTTTTTTTTTTTTTTTTTTTTTTTTTTTTTTTGGTTCCCTTGCAGTAAATAGTCCTCCATCCCTTTGTTTTTAGCCTATGTGTATCTTTGCATGTATGATGGGTCTTCTGAACACAGCACACCAATGGGTTTTGACTATTTATCAATTTGCAGTCTGTGTCTTTTAATTGGGCATTTAGCCCATTCATTTAAAGTTAATGTTGTTATCCAACTGTGAATTTGATCCTGTCATTATGATGCTGGCTTTGGTTATTTAGCCCATTAGTTGATGTAGTTTCTTCATAGTGTCAATGGTCTTTACAGTTTGATATGTTTTTGTGGTGGCGGGTGCCGATTTTTCCTTTCCGTATTTACTGCTTCCCCCTTCAGAATTGCTTGTAAGGCAGCCCTGGTTTTGACAATATCTTTCAGCATTTTGTGACTGTAAAGGATTTTATTTCTTCTTCACTTATGAAGCTTAGTTTGGCTGAATGTAATTCTGGGTTGAAAATCCTTTTTCTTTAGGACTGTTGAATGGCCCCCACTTTCTTGTGGCTTGTAGAGTTTCTGCAGAGAGTTCTGTTAGTCTGATCCTTACTCACTTTGTGGGTAACTTGACTTTTCAAGGCACTTAACATTTTCCTTCATTTTAACCTTGATGAATCTGATTATTTGTCTTGGGGTTGCTCTTCTTGAGGAGTATCTTTGTGGTGTTCTCTGTATTTCCCGAATTTGAATGTTGGCCTGTCTTGCTAGGCTGGGGAAGTTCTCCTGGACATGGATAGTATCTGAAGAATGTTTTCTTGGTTCCATTCTCCCTGTCACTTTCAGGTACCAATCAAATGTAAGTTTGGTTTCCCATAGTCCCATATTTCTTGAAGGCTTTGTTTGTTCCTTTTCATTCTTTTTCTCTAATCTTGTTTTCACATTTTATTTCATTAAGTTGATCTTCAATCTCTGATATCCTTTTCTTTCGCAGTCAATTTGGCTGTTGATACTTGTGTATGCTTCGAAAGTTTTTCAGCTCCATCAGGTCATTTATGTTCTTCTCCAAACTGGTTATTCTAGTTACCCATTCCTTTAATCTTTTTTCAGGTTCTTAGCTTCTTTGCATTGGGTTAGAACATTTCTTTAGCTTAGAGGAGTTTGTTATTACCACCTTCTGAAGCCTACTTCTGTCAAGCGCTAGTGCCTCCATGTTTTTTTTTTTTTTTTTTTTTTTTTTTTTTTTTTTTTTTTGCTTTCCACTTGCTTGGTAAATAGTCCTCCATCCCTTTATTTTTAGCCTATGTGTATCTTTGCATGTATGATGGGTCTTCTGAACACAGCACACCAATGGGTTTTGACTATTTATCCAATTTGCCAGTCTGTGTCTTTTAATTGGAGCATTTAGCCCATTCACATTTAAAGTTAATGTTGTTATGTGTGAATTTGATCCTGTCATTATGATGCTAGCTGGTTATTTAGCCCATTAGTTGATGTAGTTTCTTCATAGTGTCAATGGTCTTTACAGTTTGATATGTTTTTGTGGTGGCGGGTGCCGATTTTTCCTTTCCGTATTTACTGCTTCCTTCAGGAGTGCTTGTAAGGCAGCCCTGGTTTTGACAATATCTTTCAGCATTTGCTTGTCTGTAAAGGATTTTATTTCTTCTTCACTTATGAAGCTTAGTTTGGCTGGATATGTAATTCTGGGTTGAAAATCCTTTTCTTTAGGACTGTTGAATATTGGCCCCCACTTTCTTGTGGCTTGTAGAGTTTCTGCAGAGAGTTCTGTTAGTCTGATCGGCCTCCCTTTGTGGGTAACTTGACTTTTCTGACTAGCCTTAACATTTTTTTCCTTCATTTTAACCTTGATGAATCTGATTATTTGTCTTGGGGTTGCTCTTCTTGAGGAGTATCTTTGTGGTGTTCTCTGTATTTCCTGAATTTGAATGTTGGCCTGTATTGCTAGGCTGGGGAAGTTCTCCTGGATAGTATCCTGAAGAATGTTTTCCAACTTGGTTCCATTCTCCCTGTCACTTTCAGGTACACCAATCAAATGTAAGTTTGGTTTTTCCACATAGTCCCGTATTTCTTGAAGGCTTTGTTTGTTCCTTTTCATTCTTTTTCTCTAATCTTGTTTTCACATTTTATTTCATTAAGTTGATCTTCAATCTCTGATATCCTTTCTTTCGCTTGATCAATTTGGCTGTTGATACTTGTGTATGCTTCACGAAGTTTTTCAGCTCCATCAGGTCATTTATGTTCTTCTCCAAACTGGTTATTCTAGTTAGCAATTCCTTTAATCTTTTTTCAAGGTTCTTAGCTTCTTTGCATTGGGTTAGAACATATTTCTTTAGCTTAGAGGAGTTTGTTATTACCCACCTTCTGAAGCCTACTTCTGTCAAACTCATTCTCCATCCAGTTTTGTTCTCTTGCTGGTGAGGAGTTGTGATCCTCTGGACGAGAAGAGGCATTCTGGTTTTTGGAATTTTCAGCCTTTTTGCATTGGTTTTTCCTCATCTTCATGGCACTGTCTACCTTTGTTCTTTGATGTTGGTGACCTTTGGATGGGGTTTTTGGGTGGACATTCTTTTTGTTGATGTTGATGCTATTCCTTTCTGTTTGTTAGTTTTCCTTCTAACAGACTCCTCTGCTGCAGGTCTGCTGGAGTTTGCTGGAGGTCCACTCCAGACCCTGTTTGCCTGGGTATCACCAGCAGAGGCTGCAGAACAGGAAAGATTGCTGCCTGTTCCTTCTTCTGGAAGCTTCGTCCCAGAGGGGCACCCTCCAGATGCCAGCCGGAGCTCTCCTGTATGAGGTGTCTATCGACCCTTGCTAAGAGATGTCTCCCAGTTAGGAAGCATGGGGGTCAGAGACCCACTTTAGGAGGCTGTCTGTCCCTTAGCAGAGCTCGAGCACTGTGCTGGGAGATCCACTGCTCTTTTCAGAACTGGCAGGCAGGAATCTTTGTCTGCTGAAGCTGACCCCGTAGCTGCTCCTTCTCCCAGGTGCTCTGTCCCAGGGAGATGGGAGTTTTATCTATAAGCCCCTGACTGGGGCTACAGCCTTTCTTTCAGAGATTCCCTGCCAAGAGAGGGGGAATCTAGAAAGGCAGTCTGGCTACAGTGGCTTTGCTGAGCTGTGGTAGGCTCTGCCAAGTTCAGTGGCTTTGTTTACTTCCTGGTGGCTTTGTTTACACTGTGAAGGGAAAACCACTTGCTCAGGCCTCAGTAATGGCAGATGCCCCTCCCCCTACCAAGCTTGAGCATCCCAGGTGGACTTCATACTGCTGTGCTGGCAGTGAGAATTTCAAGCCAGTGGATCTTAGCTTGTTGGGCTCCATGGGGGTGGGATCCGTGGAGCTAGACCACTTGGCTCCCTGGCTTCAGCCCCTTTCCAGGGTAGTGAACATTTCTGTCTCACTGGTGTTCCACCCACCACTGGGGTATGAAAAATAAAATCCTGCAGCTAGCTTAGTGTCTGCCCAAATAGCTGCCCAGTTTTGTGCTTGAAACCCAGGGCCCTGGTGGTGTAGGCACCCAAGGGAATCTCCTGGTCTGCACGTTGTCAATACTGTGGGAAAAGCATAGTGTCTGGGCCAGAAGGCACCATTCCTCACATCATAGTCCCTCATGGCTTCCCTTGGCTAGGGGAGGGAGTTCCCTGACCCCTTGCACTTCCTGGGTGAGGTGATGCCCCATCCTGCTTTGGCTCACCCTCCGTGGGCTGCATCCAACTGTCTATTCAGTCCCAATGAGAAGAGCTGGGTACCTCAGTTGGAAATGCAGAAATCATCTGCTTTCTGCATTAATCTCACTGGGAGTTACAGACTGGAGCTATTCCTATTCAGCCATCTTGACAGCCAGCAAGAAGTAACCAAATTTCTTAGTCTATTTTGGCTTTAATAGTAACTGTCCTAAGATTTTTTTGTCATTCACAGACAATTGCCTTGCTTTGATCCTATTTAAAATAAGGTTTATAATCAGCTATAGGACTTTGACAGATGTTCCTGAATGCAGGTATCTGATAACCTTTGGAGACTGTTATGTTAAAATATGGAAAAAAAACTCTTGGAACTCTCTTGGAGAGCTGAAATGTTCATGAATATCAAACAGAACAGGAGTTAATTGCATGGACTGATCTAACAGAAAACTGAAGTAATCTTTTTGAAATTTTTTGCTTAAAATGCTGAGGGTCCTTTGTTTTGTTTTCCAGAGTCAAGGAAACTTTTCTTTTGAGCTATATACAGCTTTTAACAATTGAGTAAGGTATACTCCTGTGAACAAAATTTGGAGCATATTTGTTTCTCTCTACCTATTTTCTCCAGAATTTGAAAACTATTTGTGAGTATTCTTAACTTATGCCAATATAGTTATTTTCATAAGTGCAATAATAATCTGTTTTCTTTTGTAACAGGACACAATTGGAGAAACTGCTTAATTTATCAAGGCTTTGACTGGAATGGCATGCTTTCCTTTTAGGAATCAAACTTGACTTATAGAGCCAATAAAAGCCCTCGGGAAAACTGACCTCATACATTGTCTGCATAGTCCCTGTACAGGTTTCCAACCTGTGGTAAGTAAAGAATGTCACTTTTTTTTTTTTTTTTTGAGATGGAGTCTCACTTTGTCACCCAGGCTGGAGTGCAGTGGTGCAATCTCAGCTCACTGCAACCTCCGCCTCCCAGGTTCAAGCGATTCTGCTGCCTCAGCCTCCCAAGTAGCTGGGACTACAGGTGCACGCCACCACGCCCAGCTGATTTTTGTATTTTTAGTAGAGACAGGGTTTCACCATATTGGCCAGGCTGGTCTCAAACTCCTGACCTCATTATGTGCCTTCCTTGGCCTCCCAAAGTGCTGGGATTACAGGCTTGAGCCACAGTGCCTGGCCAAGCATGTCACTTTTTAACAGGCCCAGGAGCCCCAAATTACCTTGTGACCTCAAGAGGAAAGGAATTTTCCAACTCATAGGTATCTGAGGGTACAAACTCAATGCTAGGCTTGGCTTTGAAAAAAGTCGTATCTGAGATTCATTTTATAGAACAACGTTCCATCAAAGCCAATTTAAAAAGCCTATGTGAAAAATTATTCTTGCTGCACTTTACAAATAATCTGACCAAGTATAAGGCTAAAGCTTATTTTTTGAAACAAATCCATCCTACCATGATTTGTCTTTAGTAAAAATGTGAGACTGAAGAGAGAAAAATTATGTTTCAAAACCTGTGGTACACTTGTTATCAGATTCTAGTCTCATCAGTTGTTTTGGGGCTATTTTTCACCGTAATGATGCTTTCTGACTTAGCTCCTCTCTACCCTGGATATGAGATGCCCTAATAGTTAGGTGGGAATATCATTGCCCCTATTCAGCCTGAAGAAGTTGAAGAGGATAGATTTCATCTGCTTACAGCCTTTAGGATTAAGGGTTCCCTTGTAAAAGGGAGGGGGAAAATATGCCAGAGGTGTTTGAACCAGAGCAACTCAATCTTGAATAGGGGCTGGGTAAAATAAGGCTGAGACCCACTGAGCTGCATCCCAGGAGGTTAGGCATTCTAAGTTACAGGATGAGATAGGAGGTTGGCACAAGATACAGGTTACAAAAACCTTGCTGATAAAAGAATGCAGTAAAGAAGCTGGCCATACAAAAACCTTGCTGATAAAAGAATGCAGTAAAGAAGCTGACCAAAACCCACCAAAACCAAGATGGCAATGAAAGTGACCTCTGGCTCATTATACACTAATTATAATGCATTAGCATACTAAGAGACATCCATCCCACCAACACCACAACAGTTTATAAATGCCATGACAATGTCAGGAAGTTACCCTATATGGTCTAAAAAGGGGAGGACCCCTCAGTTCTGGTAATTGCCCACCCCTTTCTTTGAAAACTCATGAATAATCCATCCCTTGTTTAGCACATAATCAAGAAAACCATAAAAACAGCCAACTAGCAGCCTCAGGACTGCTCTGCTTATGGAATAGTCATTCTTACATTCCTTTACTTCCTTAACAAACTTGATTTCACTTAATAAAGAGAAATTATAGTATATACATACAAAGGAATATTATTTAGTCCTTAAAAAGAAGGAAATCCTGCCATTTGTGACGACATAGATGGACCCGGAGGACATTATGTTAAGCAAAGTAAGCCAGGCACAGAAAGACAAATACTGCAGGATCTCATTTATGGGTGTATCTTAGTCCATTTGTGCTGCTATAACAAAATATCTGGGACTGGGTAACTTATAAACAGCAGAAATTTGTTTCTTATGTTTCTGGAGGCTGGGAAGTCTAAGATCAAGACACTAGCATTGGTGTCTGAAGAAGGCTGCTCCCTGCTTCCAAGATGGTGTCTTGTTGCTGCTTCCTCCAGAGGAGATGCATGTGTTCTCACATGGAGGAAGACAGAAGGGTGAGAGAGCACTCTTTTTGACCTTGAGCCTTTAAATAAGGGTGCTAATCCCATTCATAAGAGTAGAGCCCTCATGACTTAATCGCATCCCAAAGACCATACCTCTTAATACCACTGCACTGGGGATGACTTCAACATAAATTTTGGAGGGATGTCATCATTCAAACCATAGCAATGTGGACTCTAAAATAATCAAACTTCTAAAAGCAGAGAGTAGGCCGGGCGCGGTGGCTCAAGCCTGTAATCCCAGCACTTTGGGAGGCCGAGACGGGCAGATCACGAGGTCAGGAGATGGAGACCATCCTGGCTAACGCGGTGAAACCCCATCTCTACCAAAAAAATACAAAAACTAGCTGGGTGAGGTGGCGGGCGCCTATAGTCCCAGCTACTCAGGAGGCTGAGGGAGGAGAATGGTGTAAACCCGGGAGGCAGAGCTTGCAGTGAGCTGAGATCCGGCCACTGCACTCCAGCCTGGGCAACAGAGCGAGACTTCGTCTCAAAAACAAACAAACAAACAAACAAAAAAACCCAGAGAGTAGAATGGTGGTTTTCATGGGCTGGAGGGAGGGGGAAATGGGGAGATGATGATCAGAAGGTACCAAGCTTCAGTTATCCAGGATGAATGAGCTCTGAAGATCTGTGTGGCATGATGCCTAGAGCTGCATTGTATACCTAAAATTTACTAAGGCAAGTTGATCTTATGGTAAGTGTTATTATCAAAACAGTGACAAAAACAAAATACAAATACAAATAATAAAGGGGCTGGGTGCAGTGGTTCACAGCTGTAATCCCAGCACTTTGGGTGGCCAAGGTAGGTGGATCACTTGAGGTCAGGAGTTCAAGATCATCCTGGCCAACACGGTGAAACCCTGTCTCCACTAAAAATACAAAAATTAACTGGGCATGGTGGCCTGTGTCTGTGATCCCAGCTGCTCAGGAGGCTGATGTGGGAGGATCACTTAAGTCTGGGAGGCGGAGATTGGAGTGAGCCATGATCATGCCACTGCACTCCAGCCTGGGTGACAGAGCAAGACTCTGTCTCAATAACAATAATAATAACAATAATAAAGGGGTGGGAGGAAACTCTGGGAGGTGATGGATGTGTTTATAACCTTGATGGTGATGATGGTTTCACAGGTACAACTTATCCCCAAACTTATCGAAATGTATACGTTCAATATATACAGCTTTTTATATGTTCATTTTACCTCAATAGAGCAGTTTTCTTTAAAAAAGAATTAGCAACAATCTGGCAGGTCCATGGGGAGGAGAGGCCTAGGTGACTGAGGAGAGAGCATCTGCATCCAGGAGCCCCGTCCAGGGACATGGGGGCCCATGTGAGGCTGTGGCACAGAGAGCCCTGCCGAGAAGGATATGTGCTGTCTCTGGTCTGTCCAAACTCCTCCCAGGCTTGGTGTGAGATCACAGAAGTGTCACAGCTGCTTCTCCGGTCCTCTACACGGACCTGAATTCCAGCATAACCAACCTGAGCATTTCGGCAAACGTAGAAAACAAATACAGTCTTTATGTGGGCTAGGTACTGGCAGTAACCTCCAGTATTTTTATTGGCTCCAGCTTCATATTGAAAAAGAAGGGTCTCTTGCAACTGGTCAAAAAAGGCATCACTAGAGCTGGACAAGGTGGACATTCTGACCTGAAGGATGGCTCTGGGGGGCAGGAGTGCTAGCCGTGGGAGCAGGAGAGGCTGCACATTTTGTGGCTTATGCTTTTGCACCTGCCATCTTGGTCACCCCCACCCTCCCGGCCCTCTGAGTGTTCTCGTAAGTGCAATATTATCTTCTTATTTTTTAAATGAGCACTTGAACATTTGTGGGAAAACAGGCTGCATACTGGGGTCAACTGTGATGATTATCCATCCCCCACAAGAAAAGGAAGTCACTTCTTTGCATGAAATGGAAATGAAATTGAGAGACCCAGGATTTATTTCCTTTGCTGTGATCATAATTGTGATCTTCTTGGTACTGATTTTGATTGTGGCTCCCAAGAAAGGACAGATCAATATATTGGTCTATATTTCAATCTGTTCTTTGAATGGAGCATTTTCAGTTTCTTCTGCCAAAGGCCTGGGAATTGCCATTAAGGAATTACTAGAAAGGAAGACAGTTTAGAAGCATCCCCTGGTCACTGTTTTGCTGGCTATACTTGTGCTTTTGGTGACTACACAGATTAACTATCTCAAGGCACTGGACACTGTTACTACATCTCCTGTGACTCCCATTTATTTTGCGTTCTTCATATCCATGGTAGTGACTTGCTCTGCCATCTTACTCCAAGAGTGGTATGGCATGAAGGCTGGAGATATCATCAAGACCCTAAGTGGATTCTTCGCTATTACCTTTGGCATCTTTCTTCTACATGCTTTTAAAAATACTGACATTACCTGGAGTAAGCTGACATCCACTGCTAAGAAAGAAGTCATCTCTCTGAATGGCAATGAGAGCAATTCTGTTTACAAGTTTTAGAGAACTTGGAGTGTTCAACCCCGGATACAATGATAACGTTACCTTGTTTAGTAGAACTGATGATTGAAGTCTCTAGAAACACTGAATTTTAACCAGTATTAGACACTCAAAGAGGAAAATGAATGCTTGTTTCTTGGAACTAGGAAAGTTAGCATTTTTGAAGTTCTAACTAATTTAAATGTGAGGCCAAGTACAAATGCCATCTTTTTGGCCATTAAATTTGAAAATCAGATTGATTCTCCTCCAGAAGACGTCTGCTGCTTTTCTTTCCTGCAAACTTTGAAATATTCCCTAGGGATCAAAGAAGTCAAAGAGCTATGTGTGTCTCCGAATAATCTCTTTCTTCCGGCCACAATATATTTGTCTCTGCCAGGTGGCTCTTCATTTTTTCTTTGGTGACTGTATGACTCACATTCATCGATAGAAAGTTAGCAGTGTTCTGATAAGCAGAGTATCAGTCATTTTCTCTGATGAGTCATAATTTCAAATTATTGAAACTGAGAAGCGAGATCACTGGTGCTTTGTCCTCCCTTTTGCAACTTCCTTCTTAAACCGGTTAGCTAATTAATTATTTTAAGGGAAAAATAAGCCTGCTTTGGAAATTTATTCCTTAGTGGGCTAGAATACACAAGACACACCCACCCATGAAGAGCTTATGAATTCTAACTTACTGACAAATCATAAGAATTTACAACCCATTAAAGAGGAAGAATGGAGGAAGAGAAAAATACTTTAGACCTCAAATAAAGGAAACTGTTTTTTTTCTTTTCACAAAAACACAGACACATGTGACTGTTTTCACAGGTTCCTTTAATTAGCTCAGACCTGGATGGCATAAAATGGAGTTTCTGAAGAAGTCCAGGTAAATTCAGCTTTGGAGTCATTTACGTTCATTTTGTTTCTTTCTTTTACTATTATCCTAAAGGTTATTTTTCTTGTTGATATAGAGATTTTTTTTTTTTTTGTAAAATAATTGCTGTTATTTCAGGATTACATTGTACACTTCAGTTGTTCTCAAGTGTTTTATCCCTAAAGGGTGAGTTTTCCATAGGCTGTTTGGAAACAGCTAGAGAAATCTTTGTGAAAAATCTGAACGAATTATCATAATGGCTCTCTTGAAATTTGGTACTTGCTCCCTTATTAAGGAAATTATGATTAGTTACTAATCTTTAAAAATAGGTATATCCTAATAGAGAGTCAACTTCCTGAAAAACAAAATATTAATACCTCAGGGGCTACTGCAGGAAAATGCATTTTACACATTAAAATGTCCATAACATTTTCCTATTTGAAATGCATGGCAGCAATCCCATTTTTGGTGGTCTTCAATATAACGGACAGATTTACTACCACTTACTGATTTTATGGAAAAGAAATTGGCTATCTTATTTCTATACTAAACTTATTTTTCTTATTTCTTATCTCATGTCTTTTTCTTATCTTATTTCTATACTAAGCTTATTTTTCTCAAAACAAAAATTCTAACTGAAAAGTTGTCATTAAAAAAAATTTCAGGTTGACTGGATTTTTTTCTGCTCCAGCTTTAAATGTTATTAGGTTTTGTTTCTTGTTTCTAAGGTAGCTCAAGACTTCTCAGGATAATAATAGTAAATCTTATTCTTCAGAATTCTTTTAAGCTGACTTCAGCATTTCCCCAGTTTTATTAAACTATGACCAATGTTCACAATGACAACCTGAGATGGCTGCAAGGCCCTAATGTGCCATTGCAGTCTTTTCAGCACAGTATAATGTTGAGTACAATTCCATGCATTCTAAATTTTTGAAAATTGATGATCCATGGAAGGTCCATGGAATTATACCTCAGACCAAATATGTGTTTACTCTGTTCATTGCTGTTTCACTTTAGTTGTATAACAGACATATAAGCTATGAACACAAGTTTGTAGGAAAAGTATCTACTGGCTGGGTGGTGGCTCACACCTGTAATCCCAACATTTTGGGAGGCTGTGGTGGGAGGATTGCTAGATTCCAGGAGTAGTTTCAGACCAGCCTGGGCATTTCAAGACCCCATCACTAAAAAAATGTAAGAAATATCAACTAAGTGTGGTGGTGTGCACCTGGAGTCCCAGTTATGTCAGGAGGCTGAGTTGTGAAAGTATCTTCTGAAAAGATAGTATTTGAAAACTGCAGAAATTTTTTTTTTTCTTTTAGTATTAAGAGCTTTATTGATGTTTTTAGGACACCTTCTTGGTGATGAAATTCATGGCACTTTTCTTGACATCCAACACGAGACTGTGGTGGTTCTCTGTTCTGGTGAATTTAAGTTTTCGATATTTATTTGTGTCACCTGTCACAGAGATTTTGTCCTTGGTATGTCATACTCAGGTCAAAGTTTCCTGAAACACAAGGCTCAATGAGTACCCTGGATGGGAAAATGAACTGGTGTTGACATATATGCATGCCCAGGAGAAAGACTGGGAAAGATTTAATGAGTTGGAGTATGCTGAGAAACAATGAAATATTGAAAACTGTCTATATAAAAATCACTGTTGGGCATACACATTAAAAACAATATGTTATTGCAAATTTAATACTAAAATTATTTTCCCAAACAGAAGATATTGTTTAAGGAAGAATAAAATGCTGAACCCCTATATTCAAACTGTTAGTCTTACCTGGTAGTTTATATATGTATTTCAATACTTTGTCAATACATAGATATCTTAAGATTTATTATGTGAATATCTGCATGTGTGTCATTAAGGATTGCAAAGTAGTGCTCACACAAGAATTAACAACAATCCTTCTCAAACTCTTCCAAAAAATAGAAGAGGAGGGAAAGCTTTCTAACTAATTATCTGAGGCCAGCGTTACCCTGATACCAAAGTCAGATACAGACATCACAAGAAAAGAAAAATATAGATCATATCCCTTGTTAGTACACATATTAGTCAGGTTGGGTTGCCACAACAAAATGCTATAGATTGGGTGGTTTAAACAACAGACATTTGTTTCTCACAGTACTGGAGGCTGGAAGTCCCAGATGAAGGCCCAGTGAGGTTGTCTGGAGGGGGCTCTTTCCTGATTTGCAGATGGCCACCTTGTCACTGCAGTACTGAGATGGCCTTAGCTCTGAGTGCATGTGATGAAAGAGAGAGGGAGAGAGATTTCTCTCTTTCTCTTCTTATAGGGCCACCAATCCTATTGAATTAGGCCTTATGAACTTATTAACCTTAATTACCTTCTAAAGGCCCTATCTCTAAATCAGTCATATTAGGGGTTAGAGATTTAATTTATAAATTTTGGGGGAACACAATTCAGTCCGTAACAGTATAAATACAAAAAATTAGCAAATCTAATTCAACATCTTTAGAGAAGTACACATCATAACCAAGTGGGACTTATTCCAGGAATGCAAGAGTGGTTCAATATATGAAAATCAATCCGTTGTATATACTACATTAATAGAATTAAGGAAAGAAACACGATCACCTCCATCAATGCAGAAAAAGCATTTGACAAAATTGAACACCTTTTTATGATCAAAGCAATTGACAAACTAGGAGTAGAAGGAAACTTCTTCAATATAATAAAGAACATTTGTGAAAATCCCACAACTAACATCCCAGTCAAAGGTGAAAGACTGACATCATTCCTTATAAAATCAGGAATAAGGAATGGATACCCACTTTTGCCACTCCCATTCAACATTTCACTAGAAGTTCTAGCCAAAGAAATTAGACAAGAAAAAAAGACATCTAAATTGGAAAGCAAGAAGTAAAATTATCTCTATTGCACATGACATAATTTTACATATAAAAAAATTTAAGGAATTCACAAAAAATCCACTAGTGCTAATAAACAAGTTCAGCAAATTTGCAGTGTACAAGGTCAATACATTAAATTAGTTGTACTTCTATACACTAGCAATGAACAACCTGAGAAATAAATTAAGAAAACAATCTTGTCTGACTGTGGTGGCTCATGCCTGTAATCCCAGCACTTCTGGAGACTGAGGTAGGAGGATTGCTTGAGGCCAGGAGTACAAAACCAGCCTAGGCAAGAGAGCAAGACCCAGTCTCTTAAAAAAAAATTGCCAGGTGTGGTGGCGTTTGCCTATATTCCCAGCTACTCAGCAGGCTGAGGTAGGAGGATCACTTGAGCCCAGGAGTTTGAGACTACAGTGAGCTAGGATCACCATTGTACTCCAGCCTGGGCAACAGAGAAAGATCCTGTCTCTATTAAAAAAAATCAAAAAAGAAAACAATTCTATTTATAATAGCATAAAAAAGAATAAAATACATAGGAACAAATTTAAACCAAGAGGTGCAAGATTTATGCACTGAAAATTATAAAACATTGCTGAAAGAAACTTAAAAAGACCCAAATGGGAAGCCACCTTGTGTTTGTGGATTGGGAGACATAGAATTGTTAGAATGGCAGTGCTCCTGAAAGTGACCTACAGGTGCATTGCAATGCCTTTCAAAATACCAGTGGTCTTTTTTTTTTGCAGAAATGAAAAAGCTGATTCTAAAATTCATCTGGAATTGCAAGAGACCCCAAATAGCCAAAACAATCTTGAAAAAAAAATAAAGTTTGAAGACACACACTTTCCAATTTCAAAGTTTGACTACAAAGCTACAGTAATCAAAGAAGCATGGTTGTGGCATAACAATGGACCAGTGAAATGGAACTGAGAGTCCAGAAATAAACCAATACATCTATGTTCAATTAATTTTCAACAAGGGTGCCGAGATCATTTATTGGAAAAAAGTCTGTTCGACAAATAATTCTGGGGCAACTGTATATCCACATGCAAAAGAATGACTATACTGCATACTGTATACAAAGATTAACTCAAAGTGGATCAATGACCTAAACACAGAGCTAAGACTGTAAAACTTTTAGGAGAAAAATGTAGGGATAAATGTTCATAACTTTGAATTTGGCAATATAATGCTATGACAATAGCTATGACACAGATGGCAAAAGAAAAACTAGACAAACTGCAACCCATCAAAATTAAAAACTTTTGTGCATCAAAGAACACTTTCAAGAAGTGAAAAGAAAATCTGCAGGATGAGAGAAAATATTTGCAAATTATATGTGTAAGAAGGGCTTACTTTCCAGAACATATAAATAACTCTCAGAACTTAAACAATCAAATTAAAAAATGGTGAAAGGTCTTGAATAGACTTTTCTCCAGTGAAAACATACAAAGGGCCAACAAAGCTATGAAAAGATACTCAACATCATTAGACATCGTGGAAATGAAAATCGGAACTATGAGATACCACTTCGCTTTCATTAGGTTGTCTCTGATTTAAACAAAGGAGAGGAAAACAAGTGTTGGTGAGGATGTGAAGAAATTAGAACTCTCAGCCGGGTGCAGTGGCTCAAGCCTGTGATCCTGGCACTTTGGGAGGCCAAGGTGGGCAGATCACTTGAAGTCAGGTGTTCGAGACCAACCTGGCCAACATGTCGAAACTCCATCTCTATTGAAAATACAAAAAAATTAGTCAGATGTGGTGGTGCAGGCCTATAATTCCAGTTACTCTGGAGGCTGAGGCAGGAGAATCACTTGAACCCCGGAAAGAGACTTCAGTGAGCCGAGATCATGCCACTGCACTCCAGTCTGAGTGACAGTGAGACTCTGTCTGAAAAAAAAAAAAAGAGAGAGAGAAATTAGAACTCTCATGCATTGCTGGTGGGATTGTAAAATGGAGCAGTTGTTCTGGAAAACAGTTTGAGAATTCCTCAAAAAGTTAAAATTAGGCCTGGCACAGTGGTTCGTTATTGTAATCCCAGTATTTTGGGAGGTCAAGGCAGGAGGATTGCTTGAGGCCAGGAGTTCAAGACCAGCCTGGGATACACAGTGAGAACCCATCTCTAAAAAAAAATACAAAAAATTAGCAGGGCGTGTTGGTGGATGCCAAGTAGTCCCAGCTACTTGGAAGGCTGAGATGGGAGGATTGCTTGAG